TTGTTTCGATCTAGGGGAATCTTGTTCAATCCGCTATGGAACTGGATCAATCTCTGGCCATTTCAGTCAAGACAATGTTCAAGTTGGTGATCTTGTAGTTAAAGATCAGGTGAATTCTTGTTTGGCAACTGGTTTCTCAACATATCATAATATGACCCTTTCTGGTTTTCCAATTGATGACAATTCTACATCAATTTTTTTCAGGTGTTTATTGAGGCGACGAGAGAACCAAGTATTACATTTATAATTGCAAAGTTTGATGGTATACTAGGGCTTGGTTTCCAGGAAATTTCTGTTGGAAATGCTACACCTGTCTGGTAGTTCTCTGCACTCTAGGTGTTCAGTTCAGTTGTACCATTTCTTACTTGTTTCATCTTCTTCTCAGCTTATGGAAACTGCCTGTCTTACTTCGGATCTACTTTCAGGTACAATATGGTGGGGCAAGGTCTTGTGAAAGAGCAGGTCTTCTCTTTCTGGATTAACCGTGATGCAACTGCAAAAGAGGGGGGTGAACTTGTTTTTGGTGGAGTTGATTCAAATCACTTCAAGGGTAATCATACATATGTTCCTTTGACTCAGAAGGGCTACTGGCAGGTACTTGAAAGTTGTTTTTTGGGGGGGCTCTTTTCTCCTACATCACTGCATGCTATTTTTTGGAGGTTGGTGGTGGGAGCTAAAAGCAGTTCATTTGGTTATACTATCCTTCATCTACTTTTTTCCTTTTACCTTTTCAGTTTAATATGGGAGATTTCCTTATTGGGAACGCATCAACAGGTGAGTCTGGCTGCAAACACATGATTTCCTTCAATTTCTAATGTTGAGAAACATGTATTTCCCGTCTAATCACTTGTAATCATCTAAACAACTGCTAATAGAGAGTAGCATATCACATACAAGATTGGATATTTCCCTCAGTTTGTATATTGGAAACTATATATTGCCCACTTAGTCATCTACAGCAATACATGTAGAAAGTTTCCTAAGATGCAATAAGGCATCTGTTTCTTTCTAGCTCTATAGCTCTTAAGGTAGTTAGTTATTGTTATCCAGTTTTCATGAGTTATACACAGATCATTCTAAAAAAAAAAAAAGAGTTATACACAGACATATAGAGATATATGTAATCCTACCCCCCCCCCCCCCCCCCCTTCCCACTAGGCCACAAACATACTGTCATTCTGAAATGAGGTATATCATCTATATTTAGAGGAAAATTTACAGGACTCTTATCGAGAGAATGAGTATTTTAAGTTCTGACCATTTTGCCTTTTCCATTTCAGGTGTTTGTGCAGGTGGTTGTGCTGCTATTGTGGATTCTGGAACATCTCTTCTTGCTGGTCCAACAGTATGTTCTATTCTCTTTATTTTACTCATTTGATTCCCGTAAGAATTTTGGATTGTTGGACTATCTCTTTATTTCAAACAATACTTTAAAATTACTTATGACAAATCAACTCCAGACTGTTGTGACACAAATCAACCATGCCATTGGAGCAGAAGGAATAGTTAGCATGGAATGTAAAACTATCGTTTCCCAGTATGGAGAGATGATCTGGAATTTACTAGTATCAGGGGTATGTTCTCTTTCCCTCTTATTCTTAATTTCACATTTCAGTGTGCATAAGATGTTATTGTAATTTGCAGGTGAAACCTGATCAAGTTTGTTCACAAGCAGGTCTATGTTATTTTAATGGAGCTCAACATGTCAGGTATCACCTCCCCCTTTGGAATTATTTGCTCTTCTTGTGACAACGCACTTGACTTGACGTGTCATTGAAGGTCATATCATTGAGGAGTCCTTAGCAAAGTTGTTTAGGAGATAAAATTTCTTCCCATAATTGGAATTTGCTGTTATGGCTTCGAATCCAAAAGAAGAAAAAGAGTACTGCTGAAATTGTTGCAGATGCCAATATAACAGGAGATTTCTGAGTTCTTGAATTATTTTTATTTAGGCACTCAACGTCTTGTCTGATTTCCGCACTGTCTCTGTTCGATTTTTGAATACTGAGCAACATCTGTTTTGGCGTGAAAGGTGGCACTTGCGGCTCTTTGTATTTGCAATCCAACAGGATTATCTTTAGTACAATCAGTATAAAGTTTTGAGAATGTTGTTTTACTGTATAGGCTCCATATTAACTGTTTAGTCCTTTAATTGCTATGTCAAATGTGATTTCACTAATTTTTTAACCAAATTCCTTGCAGCTCTAATATCAGAACTGTAGTTGAAAGGGAAACTGAAGGAAGTTCTGTTGGTGAAGCACCATTGTGCACTGCCTGTGAGATGGCAGTTGTTTGGATGCAGAACCAGCTCAAACAGAAGGAAACAAAGGAGAGAGTACTAGAATATGTGAATCAGGTAAATGTCACAACTTAATCTGCTGTTAGAAGCCAATAAGTAGTACATCACATCATCCTAATATCAAAGCTTTGGTGTTATACAGCTTTGTGAGAAATTACCAAGTCCAATGGGAGAATCTGTAATCGACTGCAGTATGATCTCAGCCATGCCAAATATTACATTCACTATTAAAGATAAAGCTTATGTGCTCACCCCAGAACAGGTTGCATTCCTCTTGCTTTCAGTTTATGTTCTTACACCGAGTACTCGAGATACATCAACATGCACATCTGTGGTATCCAACCTAAATATTACACCCCATTTTAGTCATATGAGTTTCAGTGAATTCGAAAGCAACTAGAGAATTGAAGTTCTGAACTATCTGATGTTTACAAAAGATTTTAGTATCACCATCAAAGTCTGTAATTTGCTTCAAACTTACTAATCCCTAAAATGCTACTAGTAATTATACCCCCAATTCTGAAGATTAAAAAAAAAAGGGAAATATTCTAATATTTTGATGGATATGCTAGCAATAACACATTGGAATATGAGAGAACAAGATTGCAAATAGGAGAGAAACAAGAACTTGTATTTTTATATTACAGGAATAAGACAATTGGGTTCATCCCAAAAGCATGTAACATAAATTTTCAGGATAGGATTGAACCAGGAACATGAGTGAAACTACTGCAAAAGTAGAGAGACTTCACCACCCTAACACGAGGCGACTCCATCTAAGACATGAAATTAAATGAGCAACTTTTTTCTTATGGAAAAATAAATAAGCAACTTTACTAGACATTAAGTAGACAAATCTGATCAAGACCAAGTGCTGTAAATGAACTTGCTGTGTAACATTTGTTATGAAATGCCTTTAATACACCTGTTAACTAAAACCTTTTGTTGACAGTATATTCTTAAAACTGGAGAAGGGATTGCTACAATTTGCATCAGTGGATTTGCTGCTTTGGATGTGCCACCACCTCGTGGTCCTCTTTGGTAAGTTATCCCTGTGCTTACAAGCAACAAAGAGTGAATGCGTACTACTCCCGTACTAAAACATTACTCTAAGCAAAGATACAGAGCTGTGTTAGTAAAAACAAACACAACACTTTCTACTACGTTTTCATGTAGCTATATATGCTACTCCTATCCTAAAGTGATATTCATATGTGCATATATCTACTTGCAGGATTCTCGGAGATGTATTCATGGGGGTATATCACACTGTCTTTGACTATGGTAATTCCCGACTGGGTTTTGCTGAAGCAGTGTAATAGCCTTTCTTTGTAATTACTACGCCACTAGTTACTTCATAGATTGATGGAAGTATTGTAAAGAGATGAATGATACTGCTATGTTATTGTGTTGTATCTGACCATAATATGGCATACTAATCTTCTTTCTGTTGACTACTTCAAGTGCTACTTACCGACTATTGTGCATGTCTAAATGCTATATGCTCAGTCGCAGTTGTCATGACTTGCTCCAATGACAAGTAGAATTGATAAAACGCAAGATACACAACTCTTCCCTTGTTTCAATTTCTAACTAGTGCACGGGATTAGCTGATATTTTGAACAATTTGGCCTAAAAAGATAGAACTATATAGTCTGTTCTCTTATCAGGATATGATATACTGATGGTATCTCATCGTAAGGATAATCCAAACGTTCGTTTGGAGTTCAAAGAGTAAATACTTTGAATAGATTATTAAGTCGAATGTGGTATGAGATTGTTTGTATAATTGTTTGAAATCATAGGTTTAAGTTTTTGGGATGGTCAAAACTAAGAAAGCAGAATAATAACTTCCAAAATATTTTCATTAAACTTCAACTTTAAATACTTGTTTTTCAACTTCGACCAAATATTGTACAAACGCTTACTATATTCTAATTTGGGATGAAACATACACCGGCCAGCTATGCAAAATGTCATGGACTGTGGTACATATTCTACAAGAGACTAGTTCTTGTGAAACTGAAACAAGGGAGAGCGATCAATTAAATGACAGTTAACAGCATTCATTGAGGAGTTGTTTGGTCTAATCCCTATCGATAGGATATAACGAGGGGATATATTGATTGCCAGACTAATCCTTGTTCAGTGTTTGTATTCAGGATTAGATGTTAGATAACCCAACAGTTTTCAAGTCTAATTTAGTCCAACGGTTCATAAAACATTGCAGAATACTTTTAGTGCGGAAATAATACCTTAGACAAGTTCAATTATTTAAAGGAGAAAAGTTCCTTGTTAATAATTTCTTTATCATCCATTTTGTCCCTTCTAATTACCAGTAACCTTCCTCAAACAATAATCTCCTTGAATAGTTTAAAACTCTAACTTGAATTTTGTTTTAGGGAAGGCAAAATTTTTGGGATATTATGGAAGAAAATTTCAGAAAAACGTATAGAGCAAGCAAAAGTAAACGAAATAGAAGAAAAAAAGGCCAACAAAGTGGGGATGTTAATCTCAAAATTACAATCGCACACCTCTCCTTCCCTTTGAGAATTAATTATAGTCCCGAGTCCTACTTCATCCACTCGAAGTCACTGATTTGTCAAGCCTCTTTTCCCTTACTGTAATATTCACGTTGCCCACAATGGCAGAATCAAAAAGGGAAAGCTAGGTGGGGTGTTTGCATCCTAGCTGCTACAAAGCCAAAAGCAGAATCAGAAATTCGATGTAAAACATAATTTTTGGCTCATAATCTCTCGTCTAACATGTTAAAAATAAAACAAAATAAAGTACATGGTATTCTAACTATCTATCATGTCCGCTCAGGGGGACAAATATCTCCCTCTCATAGTCACCAAATAAATGCTCAAAAGGATTACAATGTACAAGTCGACATTATACAAAGCCAGTGCCTCACACAACAGCAGAAAAATTCGTTCAGGTTCAATATCTTTCATACTTTGGTCTTCTCACTAACACCAATCTTGTGTAGATGCACTGTCACTCCTCGTCACTCTCATTGCTGAAGACGGATACAACAGTTACTTTTGGCTTCTTTGCAGCTTTGTTAACCAAGGTCGTCGTCTAATGGAGAAGGGGGGGAANTTGTTAACCAAGGTCGTCACCTAATGGAGGGGGGAGAGAAGTGCAGGATCAGCTATAGATCATCAAATCATTTTAAAAATAAATATAGATCAACCAAATCACTTCGCAGAGAACTAAAAGGAGAAAAATAAGGAAATTCACTTGTTCTCCTTCCCAGTCCAGAAGCAGGTAAATGACTACTTATTTGCATTTGAAGCATGTCTATTCACATTAATGATAATTAGATGCAATTGCCAAAAAAAAATGATAATTAGATGCCATCATCTTCTCTCCTCTCTCCAAGTATGCTTTGGGGACAGCGGGAGAGGCAACCTATACACCCCAAGACAGTTAACCAGACAGTATATCTCCAACTGCGTTCCACATATCTAAGAGGTCTGTGAAACAAGGACTGTACTTTTCATATTATACTAGCATAACTTATCTTTTTCATTGAAGGTAATCCTCATGGAAGGCAATCATGATCAACTACAAAAATCCTGTGCGAGTCACATAATAGTTCTGTAGGATGTGACAACATTGGGTGGTCCCCAGTTATATGTAAAATTTTCCATAAAACATAACAGCATGTATCCCTTCGTACTTTTTACACCTATGAATCTCACTATATATCCAAGCTTTAGAAGCTAACTCAGAAAGAATAGAGAATAACTTCCCGAATACAAAAACTTGTGGCACTCCCTTTGTCCCAACCATGATCCTATTTGATTCAGCATGGAAATTAAGAGTCAGACCTAGAAATATTTATCAGTTAAGGAAAGGTTGGTCCTAAAACTTCCATGGGAGGTACCTCTGTGATGGTTTCATATATGCTTCTTGAAGTAGCATAGTATGATGAAGTAATGAGAGAAGGGATGTAGAGTAACTATCTGTCCATGTTGCTTATGCAAACTGAAATTTGAAAAAGCATTGTGGAAGTGACATTTAATGCGACGTTACCACAAAGTTTGTCCAGTCAGACAGACCTACATTAAATGTCACTTCAAGGAAGACGTGCTTTGAATACACACACACACAAACAACCCTGACCCTGCTCTCTCTCTCTCTCTCTCTCTCTCTCTCTCTCTCTCTCTCTCTACACACACACACACACACACACACACATAGGTGTTTTCTATTTTGATCTCTAGGACTCATGTACTTATTGTTATACTCAGTGTCCTGAAATAGTGAAGGAATTGGAGTTCAGACCACAAAATGAACTACAAAGTCATGAAGAATCTTGTGTCTCTCTCAGCATTTCTAATTAGGCATTATAAGCATATTATATCTCCTTGCACTTAGTTCAAAAGCAAAAAAAGGAAATATAAAGTGACCCAAAAATAGCTGAAATAATCAGTAATCTAACTTGCAAATACCTTTGATGAGCCTCCTTTGGCAGAAAATCCGAACTTCAAAGTCTTCCTCTGATCTTGATCGGCGAGAGCAGTTGCAGTTCTAACCATGGAGGGGGCTGGAATGTTTCCTGCTTCCTCCGGGGTTTGCAATTCTTCCTGCTTCTTATTGGCAGCCCTAGTAATCAGTGAAAGCAAAGACAGTTCATCAGCAAGAAAATGCATACCACCACGGCATAAAATAAATGCAGAAAGGGAAATATCACACATTTGGGCGAATTTTGCCATCTCCCTCTCTTGACGTTGCTGTTCCCTTTTCTGCCTATCGTCACGGCTACTTCCATGCATTTCTCTCATTTCCTTGAAGCGCTAGAATAGTAATCGAAGGTTTAGATGAGGCACAAAGGAAGAGTGCAATGAAGATAATAAGCTTTTCTGAGGGATAATGATGAAGATAATATCAAAGAACTGAAAAATATTTGGAGATTTAAGAAAACACTTACCTTTCTGTGGTTATGATCATATGAACTTAAGTGGGCTTCAAACTCCATTGCTAATTTATATTGCTTGTTGCATAGCTCACAAAAGAAAACCTTGCGTATTTCCTTCACCTCCGTTTCAATTTTGTGCTCGCGTTCTGCTAAAACCTGGATTTTCATAATGTGCAGGAAGCAGGCAGTAGAAGCCACCAGGTAATAAAAACTGCACGAAATTCTCAAGATCTTCCAAAGTTGGTATTCCCTTATATACCATTCCCGTCAAAAGACACACATATATGCTATATGCTGCCTTCTGTTATTAGATGTATGTTTCAGGAAAAGTAAAGTATCAAACTCAAATGGTCTAGTGCAACACATTTACCAGCTACCTAAAATGTTATAGGCATACCTCCCGCNACTACCTAAAATGTTAAAGGCATACCTCCCGCTTTTTAGCAAGTTCCTCAGTCTCCTCACGCTCAATATCAAGCTTTCGTCTTTGAATATTTTCTTCTGCTGTAAAATAATCATCTTCCTCTTGTTTTCCAATCCCCAACTTTGGGTCTCGCATCCCCGATTTTATTGGCTCAGTAATTCCTAGTCTCCAAAAGGAAGAAATTAATCAAAACTACTTAATGTGCATTGACACATTGCAGTAATTGTAACTTAAAAAGATAGAAGAGTCAATATGTCAAGCAACTTTGCACATGTAACCTTACCTTGCTCATTTTTCCCAAGACCCTTCCCTTTCCAACCCATCTTCTGAAGAAGCCTGAATCCAATATTAGAGGATGGCAACTGTGTTTCTAAAGATGCTTGCTCGACATTTTCCAGGTCTACGTTTTCTGTTGGTCTATGATTAATAGGAAGGCGAAAATCTTCAGCGAGATCCTCTAGAACAGAAGCCTCGTCTGCCTATGTTTCGAAAAGTTGAGACACAGCTTTATTAATTAAAGCAGCTGATGATCAAGATTAGTCCATGTAGTAAAACTTCATAAGTCATGTGAGACCATAGCAGAATCGCAATAAACTGAAATTCTTAAGCATCCTTAGTTCCTTATTAAGCTGACTACAAAAGTACATATGATATTTTATCTTACTTCTCTTTTTTAAAAACCAAAGAAAAGGAAAAAGGAAAAGGCTTGAACTGCATTAATATGAGTTATCCTAATTACAAAAGCATCTTCATATGGTAGAAGTCATCCTAAATGAGTTACTAAGTTAGATCGAAGAGAAAGTAAAAGGAAAAAAGCAATAGGGGGGAAATAAAATGAGATATCCATGCTATATATTAAGTAGATAGTTACTTTTAACTGGTAAGATCCCTCATTATGTTGAATAGAGGAATAAGCCAAACAAGCAAGTAGGTATAATCTGTATTCTAGTTATTACCTGTTCCATTTCTTGCTGGCGTTTATCTCTCATGCGCAGTTCTGGCCGACCATTGAACCATCTATCATCCATATCTACACGATAACGCTATTCACACAGAAAGCAAACAACAAAGTTACTTACCAGCACAACTAGTGTACAAAGAAAGAAATTGTTGCACATAAGTAAACAAAGTGAGAGAGGAGCAAAACTAAACCAAGAACATTACATGCAGTCTATAACATAGGATGCTTCATTATGGCATAGAATGTTATGACGAAACCATTTTCGAATGGCATATAGTTGAATAGATACGTTTCCTTGACAAGTAAGCTCAACTCTTTGCCAACTGAAACAGTAATTTCAGAAAATGGTTTCCTGGCTAAATCATTTTCACTGAAGACATAATAAATCAATTGGATGGAAGAGACCACCTTTGACAAGAGGGGTTGCATATGATGGTAATCAACCTCCACTTCCAACCATCCACTTCCAACCAAGAGGTTATGAGTTCGAGTCACCCCAAGAGCAAGGTGGGTTGTTCTTGGAGGAAAGGATGCTGAGGGTCTATTAGAAACAGGCTCTCTACCTCATGGTAGGGGTAAGGTCTGCATACACACTGCCTGTCCAGACCCCACTAATGGTATTATACTGGGTTGTTGTTGTTGTTGTTGGATGGAAGAGACCACCAAATTCATTAAACAATCAAAATCCGCCAACAGAACATTGCATAACAAAATATTCCTATAAATTGTAAGATTCCAATAATACACCAGAAACCTAACACGGTAACAAAAGTCCATACAGTAGCAATATGCTGGTACATGGTACAAATTGAACAAATACGTAAAAGATCTTCATTAAACGGCCTAACCTTTTAATGGTTTATTAGGTTTAGGTCTCTGATAAATTTAAAAAACTAAGAATTTGCGCCTATTTTTAACGTCTACGAATCAAAACCGAAGGCGAATAAGCACGAATAACGAAGAAATCGGTACCTGATGAAAGAAAATCGGTTTTGTAGTTGAGAATAATCACTTGTTAGCTCCACAATTGTGGGTAACTCAGGATTCAGATTGGTCTGATCGAAAGAGAAAGAGCGAGGATCTAGTCTAGGGTTTTGATAAGCTACCCTCAGAGTGACCAATCGTCTCACTGGTGCCTTGAGATTTTGCCACGTTGTTGGTCTCATGGCTGAGATATTTTTGGGGCGGTTCAAGTTCAATCCATTTTGACCCGCATCAATACCGGAAAGAATACCCGGAAAACATCCAAAAAAAAAAAAAAACAAGAACAGTGAAAGCATTGTTTTTCATTTTTCTTTTTAATTTGGAAAGTGCCAAGGGGAAGAGAAGGGAAATGTGTAATGAGAATCGAACTTTACATTTATAAAATTTGAAAGTGTTGTTTGTGTTAGGTTTTTAAGCTTAAATGTAGCTTAAAATTATTGGGTTTTTAAGCTTAAATGTAACTTAAAAGAGGGTGAATGGGAAATTGAGGGAATTTGAAAATATTTGAGTTTTACTCCTTGACAAAGGGACATTAATATTGGAAGAGGAAAAGATTTTAATGGGTATATATACAATTGCACTTCTTCTAGCTCTTAAAGAGTTAGGAAGAAGGCAATCCTCGCTCGCTCGCTCGCTCGGATTCGGTCAAATGATTGATTGATTAATTTTTTGGACAAAATTTATTTGTTAATAGTAAAATTTAACAGAAATGTTATTAAATATCCGATTTTTTGTAAACGGGATATTAATATTAAATCCAACGGAATAGTATATGTTCTTCGCTTTTTGTAAAAGACATTTACAATATGGCCGAAAGAGTTTGCACCTCTTCGGATTTGAAGAACAGTTTGCACCTCTTCAGATTTGAAGAAACAGTTTGCACCTCTTCGGATTTGAAGAGTTGCACCTCTTAAGTTTTGAAGAGTTGCACTTCTTCAGTTTGAGCTCAATATTGGCTATAAAATACCAGTCCATTCTCTCAGATTTTCCATACGAATTTCTGACTTCTCCTCCTTTCTTCTGCATTATTTTGACTACAAAAAAAAAGCAACAGTGAGTGTGATTTGCTACTGATCTTTGTGTTCGCTGAAACACTGGTGTTTGAAGTATCGCTACACCAGTGTGTAATACGTTCTATCATGGGAAGAAATAATCCAAAACCTTGGGTAATATGAGGGGATTAAATTCCTTAAGGAAACACTGTGAATTCAGTGGGCTCGGATTAAATTCTGTCACTTTTACATTTCTATTTATATGTTATTTTATCTTCTCCAGAATTATTTTACAAATACAGTTTAATAACAGTTTGAATGGACCACTACTTGCTTTTTACATTGTTATTATCTTTTGGTTCAATTTCCTTATTTATGATCAGTAGAATATTATTTTACTAGTTATCTTTCATTGTTTCCTTGTTCAGTTCACTTGATCAAGGTATTTTAAATACATGCTAAAGAAGAACGTTGAAGTTTCTAGATGTAATTTATATTCTAATATTATCCGAAAAGATATTTTGAGTGAAACTACATGCTCATTGCATATATTATAAAATAAACATGTCGATTTCCGTATGTTACAAAAAAATCGCGAGTTAGGAAATATATCCTTTTTTATATTTAAAGACAAGTAACTTTACAATCATTTATAATGTAATTTATCGTTAATGCGATCTCAACTAATTATATTCTACAATAAATAATAGGAAGAAAATTAACTTTCAAGAATCAAATAAAGTGTGGCATCAATGGCAATTGATAATTTTAACTAGACTAATCAAAATTAAGTTGGTAGGATGCCCATCTAGAAAATAAAATTTCAAGTTAATGCACGTAACTCATGCCAAACATGCTAATTACCATTGATATGCAAAAGTTCCATGATTCTTGATAAAATTTTATTAAATTGAAGTGCTTAAACTAGAAAAAGCTTTAATTAAGCCTATGGTTGATGTCGAATCCTCATTATGTTTGTGGTGGTCCAAAAATATATTGGCATTTGCATGCAAAAGGGATATTTGTGTATCCACTTTTTTCTTTAGGAGTAAGATTTGATGTAGCTTATGAGGCACAACTCTACTCGTTATCTACCATAATATGAAAAAGTATCAGCTTTTAAGATTAAATAAATATTTGTAGATATGAACATGACCAAAGTAGGGTGTATATGAAATCCCATGAAAGGATTATGGACCCCTTTTTAAACCTCTTCTGTAGCAACACTAATCCTTAATTTTCCACAAGTAATATATGAAAATTTGGCGTCTTTTTCAATTTAAATTAATAAACGAGCTGTTCTTCTTATGAAAAGCATTTCTTAAGCTCATTCATTACTAAATGAGCAATAGGAAACGTAGAGGCGGAGCCAAAATTTAAATCTTATGGGTTCAAAATTTTAATTCTTTTAAGTTACTGAGTTTTAAATTAATAATTTATACATACTTAATGGATTTTTGAAAATAAATATAGGGCTTGAACCAAAGCTACTGGGTTCGGCCGAAGCGGTACGACGACATGTTGGCTCCGCCCTGAAAACACAAATCAAGCTTCAACAAAACCGATTAGAGAATAGAGGATGAAACTAGAGGATTAATTTATTGTCATTTGAATTCTTAAGCACCATTATTAGAACGAACGAGGAGCTTCCACTACCGACTTAACTATATATTCGAAGGTTAATTATTTGACGAAATAAAAGATTAAAATTCAAAGAGAGAACATGGTTTTTCACCTACACACACTTCTTGCATTCTCAATTTCCAACTAATAAAAGAACTAATTATCAACTCGTGTCACATAACGAAGCTCTTGTTCAACCTTTCACGCCCATCTTTATTTATATCCTAACAAAACTCCACTTTTAACGTACATGACATTGATTATTTAAAAGATTATTCTGTCTTTTTTCTCAAGAAAATAAAATTTTAATTACATCAAAGTTATAAAGTGAAGACAGCAAGAAAACACAGCTAGCTACTTGTCTAATATGGAAACAACATTCGAAAAGAAAGTGAAATGAAGAAAAAGGGGTCCGTATATAGTTTGAAGTACAATTAAGGGGGAATTATGGTGGTGATGGACAGGACATGATAATAAACGTTTAGGGTTAAAGAAGAATCCTTAAAGCTAGACAGCTTGCAAGCAATTAGTGTTTGTAGGGTTCTTAAGATGTGTTTAAGCTTTATTTCTAGATTTCCAATAATTAGAAGGGTTCTTATCAGCCAATGCAATGTATGTATTCAAAGTTCAAACATTCAAAAGGTTCCCTAAAGTTCCTTTTTGACTATTTTTCCCTCTTTGGAGTTTTGCCTTTAGTTTTTAATTGTTATATATCCCTTGTTTTCTTCCCTTTCACAAGTATATTATTATTGACACTCACTAATTCACAATTATCTGGAAAGAAGATTGCGACTGAATAATATAACTTGTCAAAGTAATCGTATGTATCATCTACTTAGTTAGGTACATTATTGACTAGAAAAGGCAAAAAATTATAAATTGAGGACTTCGGTAAAATTTGCAAAAGTTGTCGACTGTTGTTCTTGTGATTGTTACATTTGCTTAAATGATTGAATGATATAGTTCTTCCAGATGTGCCTGTCTTTACAACTTATAATTAAAATTAAACCTTACTGGATTATGTTAAAGTGTATCACTTCGTGAAAAACCTTTTTGGCACTTAATGAGCTGAAGTGAATTGTACTTGGTACATCTCTGAAGTCCATTCTAGAATTTTCCCAGATAGAGATATAAATCGAGAACTCTTTTTAGTGGAGACATTATCTTTTGCTGAAACTAGTAATTTGTTTATATTCGTGTATTGACATATAAGTAAAACTTGTATAGTCAGGTACAGAAAACCTACCTTGGTTACTAATATTTTTTATCTTATACTTCCACACTTTTTTCCTGGTAGAAAACCACTATTATAATGATTGATGATACTAGCATTTATAATTGGTAAATAAGATCCACACCTTCTTCTTCTTTTTTTCCCTGGAAGGAGGACAATAAGGTACAATCAACAGAAGAGGAGTCATGAATAGTGAAAGAGCGAGAAGAAAGTTATGTAGGAAGCAACGTAACAGGTAAAATAATATTAAGGACCTATTTGTCCATACATATTTTTTGCTTTTTTTCGAAACTAATCTTCAAAATATTATTTGGTTATACATTTCATTAAATTTTAGAAGAGTTTAAAAAAAATGAAGATGATTTTTAAATTTTAAAAAGTAATTTTTACCTCTTTTTCAAGTAAATAATATTTTTCTTTTACAAAACTGCAATGTTTTCTAAAGTGAAATGCATATCCATACCAACTTAACTTCAAAAACTACTTCTTTCACGTCTCACATTTTTTTTTTATGTCCAACGCCTACTAAAAGGTTCTTTTTAAACTTTTTCTTTATATTTTTCTCTTATTATAATATAATGAGTAGAAAGAAGAAAACCAAAACTTGGGAAGCAAGGGTTAGGCATTTTGCAGTATGTAAAAGGAAGATGCAGCCTTTAATAGGGTAAAGAACATTGAATTTGTCGAGCAACTTTGACTTCAACTTCACTGCATACCGGTAAAAACGCCCACAAAAGCAAGAATCTTTTTGAAGGTGTATTTCCGAGCGGGGAAAATTCGAAAAAGAGGGGTCGTCAATGATTTGTTTCAAGGTTGAAAAAGAAAGTGAAAAGGAATAGCGGAGCTATGATGTTCTCTAAAGATATCAAAATATAAAAAAATTAAATACACCTTTAATATATATGCATAAAATGAAAAAAATTATCTAAAGAGACTTTTTGAAATTTTAATTTAAAGAGACTTTTGAACCAACTTTGATGTTAAGCTAAAGCTTCCGGAGATTTTGCAATTGATATGTAAGCAAACAAAAATATTTTACTCTATTTACCCCGTATAATTTTAAAAAAGTGATTTTATATGGGCCTTTCGAACCATATAGCTCTAGCCCTGACCCACAACTTCCTCAAATTTGGATTTTGTGGTATCCAAAAAGAAAGAAAAAAACCATGGGTACCCCATTAAGGATGTTTGGTCAGCTTTTGGAAGCAGCGGTTCTCATGACTTGTTCTTTTGTCCGAGTTATTTTAACAGCGAGTATTTTGGTCTGTAATTTCACTTCATTTAATCACCACCATTAATCGGAATGAACGGT